CAGGCCACTGGACTGGGCCCAGGGCTTATTACAGACTGTACTGAAACCTAGCAGGGGCAGCAATGCCTCAAATGGCCATCGAGTTTCCTATTGGCAGAGTGTGTGCACTGACAGACAGTAGCTCATTTAATTCTGGTGATAATCTAGGTAGGTGGAGCTGTTCTCATTGTAGAGGTTGGATGATTCGGAGGTTCAGCAGCCTCAGCACTGGGCAGAATGTGGCACACAGAACACACACTGCACTGGCAGAGCTCAGCAAATGGTAGAGACTGCAGCAGGTCTAATAACCTGGCACACTGGGGAGGATACCCATACCCCTTTCCCTACCGTCTGTCCTAACTCTCAGTCTGTCTAATGCCTTGATCAGAATTTACTAGGAGGCCCTGTGCCTGGCTTATTGATCCAAGCAATAATTTGGCCTCCCTGTTACATAGATAGAGATAGGTTTGCCATGGGGGAGGGGCACAGTTCTGGGGGGGGGAGCCCCAAATTGCTGAATCTGATTTTCTTGGAACTTTTCCAACACGGCCCAAGTCATTCATGAGCTCCCCGTTCCCCAGTTACATCACCACAGCCCTGTCTTCTGCGGAAAGACGGCCCAGCCCATGCATCCATGGCCATTTCCCAGCACAGGTTGTTTCCAGCTGGCAGCCCAGATGAGGGTGAATCTCGAGTCCTTCTCCCAGGACCACAGAGGGTCTTGCCACCAATGCTCATCAGCAATCATCCTTCTGTCCTAAGGGGGAGGCACCAAAGTAAACCACTTCCAAGCACTGTCCATAAATACTGAGAGGCTCTTCAAACTGAGGAAGGCAGGAAGGACCGCACTGTCACTAGGTCTGATTTCTATGGGACGGCGGGGGCTGGGAGGGATGAATTCTCAGAAGAGGTGAGAGGCAGACCCTAACATATTTCCATGAGCTAGAAGCATGTTTGTGGGCACATTCAGAGGGATGGGAGCAAGGGGGCAGGCGGCTCCTGCAGCCACAGAGGCCAAGCAGGTGGCCATGCCCGTGCTGAGCCCCGGCGCGCAAAGGGTGAAGCTTTTAGGCAAGCAGCGGCTAGTGATCTCAGCTTCCCTTGGTCTTAATGCTCCTGAAAGGCTCCCTGTAATTGGGCATCAGTAGTTAATGCAGTATTGACTGCATTACACGCTCCCGTGCCTCCCCTCGCTAATGCCAATTGCATCACCTTGTACAGTCACCGGCTTGCTTAGCCAATAGCCGTTAAAAGCAATCCAAATCATGAATCATATGGGAAACTTTTAGCAAGACACCGCCATCCAAGGAGACAATTTACAGTTGAGTTAATCTGGGTACATTAGTGAGACATGGATTCTGGACGACAGACCAATTTATGTTGTTTCCCTGTCCCCCACCCTACCCCCCTTAGTCCTCTGTGTGGGCAAATGAATGGAAGAGCAGGGGAACTGAGTGGAACACCTGCCTCTCTGCCCAGCGTTCCAGGAGGGGTGGGGGAGCCCCATCTTTGCAGACACTCTGCCTGGTTGAGTTTGTACAGGAAGGGGCAGTGACGGCCTCCCTCCCAGCAGAGTGCTGCGGCTGAGACTAGTTGTGGCAGGTGTGGATGAAGACATCCCCTCCTGCCAGGCACTTGGTGAGTGCCAGGTGAAGTCCCCACCCTGCCACCCATGCCAGGCCTTTACTAGCTCCCACCGGCTCTGCCTTTTTACCGATGGGCTAGGGTTGTGACAATACTGAGGCCTGCTCCCCATCTCCAGCACCAGGGCCAGTGAGACCAAGGCCACACTCTTCTCTCTGTGGTCCAGGGCATGACGGGACAGACCAGGAGGCCCTGCTGGCAGCAACCTCTCAGACAAACTGAGTAGGCTGCCGAGGCTGTGTTCCTAGCAGTCATTAACAATTGAAGACCCGGCTGCTGTCTGGTCTTCTTCAACCCAGCCCCACTCCTCCTTAAGCATTTTTTACTTATTAAAAATGCTCTGGGAGTCATGTCTGGTGTTTAGTTCCACAATGTGCCTGCTGCTTCCTGTGGTCACCCAAGCCATCCCGCTGGGCTTTACAGAGGTAGTTTAGACCCAGACCAGCCCTGCTCCAGCATGCATCTGGGAGCATGCCTGCACTCCCAGCTGGGTGCTCTCAGCATCCTCTCTTGCCCAGGCTCCCCTACAGCTCAAGCTCTTACTGTTCAGTGTGTCCCCACTTGGGGGCCTTTTCTCCATCAGTGAAGGTCAAATTTGATTTGCAGGGTTCAGGGCAGGAGTTTTCTTTGCTCCCTTGAGACTTCAGTCTCCCCCGCCCACACTCAAAGTCCATAGCCTGGTGACAGCCCAAGCTGCAGGTGCCAGGGAAGGGGCTGCTTTTCCAGGAGAGTTGGAGCTTGCCTGGCTTTCGCTGACAGGGAGAACCGGCAGCATTTAGAAAGCCCAGACCCTGAGTTCCAGTAAAGTGGAGATGGCTAGGCCAAGAGCAAGCGTCCAAATGAAAGCAATTAATCTTAAAACCCGAAGTTTAACCATTTGCAAACAGATCTTTCTGTCTCTGTGGTGACCCTTCACTGCTCGACCTAATGGATTACTTTATTAATAATGCACTGTGCTTAAAAGCAAAAAAAAAAATTTTTTTCTGATGATTCAATACTTCAGAAAGTCTCTTAAACCCGTTGCTAGGGCAAAACGATTGATATTTTATTATCTTTTCAGAAGTGCAACATGAAAGCCCTGCAGCCCAGCAGAGAGAGGGCTTTGGTCCTCTGCAGCTGGCAGACCCGACTTCAACCAGAGGAGCCCAGACTATCTCAACAAGATGCTGTCGGGTACAAAAAAGGTGTTGAGGGAGACTAATAGGAGCCCTGAGGTTCTGCTGCTGCCAGACAATGGGTGCTGGGTGCAGCACTATGGAACACACCCCTCGGGCCTAGAGTACCACATCTGCCACACAGTCCAGGTGGCCACATTCTGGGGAGGCGGAAGTGTATATGAAGTTAGGTAGTAGGACAGAGAGGCAGGTAAGTTTATACACAGCTCTTCTTTGGTCCCCAGTGAAAAGGCCACCTCCAGGACCACGGTCACCATATTGTTGGACTGCACAGGTCAGGGATGAAGGGACATCTTGAGCTCCTCTCTGAAGTTCTGGTGGGGACAAAAGGAATTACATGCCCAGGATACCCAATTACATAGCAGTTCGGTGGTCTGCAGACATCCACAGCCTTTAGCATTGTAAATCCCCAGAGCCCAACCCCCTCTAGGGCACAGATCCTTGGTAGAGGTGGAAACACCATTTGCCAATCTTTCTGGACAGAGGACTCCTACATACAAAAAACTCAGGTCTTTTGGGTTCTTGGCTTAGGCCTGGGGAGTCAAGAATATGGAATAACTGTGGTCAAAGAAACATCTTGATTTCCATACGCCTCTCACAGTGACAGTCCCTGGAGACACCAGAGAAGGGCCCTCTGCACTCTTTTTAAAAAAGAAAACTCTGGAGCTGGGCATGACCGATCTGAAGTAATACAGGATAAGGAAATACTGATGAAAGTGGCCAAACCAATGGCTCTTCTTTCCCCGTCTGGCCTGTCCCCAGGCCTCTCCTTCTCCTTTGCAATCTGTCTAGAACAGCTCCAGCCCAGTGCTGATGGCCCTCTGGAGCCCCAGGGGTGGGTCTGTGAATGGAGGAGAATCTGCTGAAGATGATGCTTCCCTCCAGCCAGCCCAGAACCATCTAGATCCCCTCTTTTACCTCTTCCTTCAATCACGCCAAGAGCCAGTCCTTGGGAGTTATGGTCCCATGTCTTCCCTGCATACACCCACCCAGGCCAGACATCTCAAAAGCCCTTTGCTGCTGATACCTCAGACGGTATAGATAGTCTGGGATAGCTGGATGAAACAGCAGCCAAGTGAACATGCGGTATGACCTTGAACAAGTCACTTAACTTCCCAGGTTCAGCAGTAGCCATGGCAACAATGTTTCAATGGTCAGAAGGCACAGACCCAGTGGAGGATTCCTGGGGATGTCCCATTACTCCCAGCCTTTCCAGTCCCCACCCAAATGTCAGCAGCAGTGGTCTTGCCAACAATCTTGCCCAACTCTCCATACAGCACCTACAGAACATACAAGCCTTACCCCAGGGGCCTAAGACAGCCACTCCCTGGACCTGGGTGCCTGTCTTAGGTCACAGGGCACGTGCTGAGTTTTCTCTCCAAAGCAGCTGGGATTCCCCAACCTTTGAGGCCACTTACTGCAAGGCACTCTCCCAGCTGAAAAGACGTCAGGGGTCTATGAGACCACCTGCTAGTGGCGTACTATAGCCATGTGACCCTCCCAGCTCCCAAGCCCTCATGAATGCACCCAGGCTCTTGACCATACATCCGGGCCACCCTCAAACCACTCCCTCTGGAGTGCTACTGGCCCGTGGTGGGACGATTCTTCCTCTGGATCAAATTCCCGCCTTCACATTCAAGGAGACGTGAGGTGAGATAGTGGCCAGAACAGGAGACGTCCCTCGCACCAAGTCATGCCCGTGGGCAGCTGTCCCCCTGAGGGCCCAGCTGGCCTTCCCCTTTCTGCCAGGCATCCCGGCTTTTGCGCGGTCGTCCGCGCTCCCTCTCGCCCCCAAGCTCTCTAGTCCGATTCTCCCCGAAGCTGCTGATTTGCTGGGCGCTCAGCGCCTCTCGAGTTACGCGGCCGGCGCGGGGGTGATGGCTGCGGTGAGCGAGGAGCAGCCGCAGAGACCAAACACTCAGCGCCAAGCGCCAGGGCGCGGAGACCAGAGGGCAGCCCAAGCCTCACGGCGCCCCTCGGCGCATCGCCTCGCCCCGCCCGCCAGCCCGGGGACCGCGGGACCTGGGGGTGCTAGGCCAGGAGCTCACCCACCCCACCCGGGTCTGTCTTCCCGCCCCGGGCTGCCGGCTGGCTCCACAACCCGGCGTGGCCCCGCGTCTGTGTGCCTGGGTCCTGGTGCGTGGCATCCCGCGCACCGTGACCAGGGCGTTGGGGGCATCGGGATCCCTGCCCGCCACCTACCGTCCTCCTTGTCCAGCACCATCATCTCGGGCGCTCCGTGTCCAGCCGCTGTTCGGCTCGGCCGGGAAAAGGGCGCCGACTCCGGGCGCGCTTCGGCTGGGAGGCCGGTCCTCCGGCAGCGAGCGGGCTCTAATTACCCGCTTGTCCGGCTCTTAACCTAGATTGCACTCAGCTAGAATTACATTCAGAAGTGAAGCACTTCGCAGATACAAAAGCAGTCTCACCTACTTTTGTGCCTCAGAATTGCAAGGAACTACGAACTGCAATTTAGAGAGAGAGGGAGAGAGAAGGGGGAAGAGAGGATCAGAGCCGTTTCTTTGATTCTCACCTTCTAAATGGCTCAATTTGCCCAGTATAATCTGTCTTAATGTAATTGCATTTGATAGCTCATAACCCTGGCTCTGGCAACGACACAGCTTTCAGCCTCATAAAGTGTTTTCCCCTCGGATTTAATCTGAATCTCAATCTGAAATTATATTCAAAGAGATGGGGGAATCTCGGCGGCCGACTCCCGCTGCCTTTCTCCCTCAATGTATGAGGTTTGCACTCCTGCTACTGAATAAATGCACACATTTCCCGAGGACCCCCTCCCTGCCGGGTTAATGGGGAGTGGAGACGCGCGGATGCCCGGCTCTGCAGCGCCACCTGGAGGTCTCTACGCTCCAGCTAGGCGAATGACTACGCTGGAGTCCCAAGGTTTCTTCCTGGTCTCCAATGTCAGTCTGGTGGGCCTTTGCGGGTCCTAGCCCCTTCAAACCTGGTTTCTGCTTCCTCACAGGAGCGCTATTTCCCTCAGGACTCCTTTCTACCAGCTCTGCCTAGAGTTCCTAGTTGATTCTGTAGTTGTTTGGCAAAGTTAACTCCTCTGCTGGGCACAAAACCTCCTACTGTGAGTCCTACAGAGGCATCTGCTACCGCATCCCTACCACCCATCAGCGCCCTGATTCTGTGCAGAAAGCAAGTCCTGTTTCAGCTTCCCTCTGAGGAAGCATAGGTGTCTGAAGGCGTTTTTCCTTCTGCAAATATTTACTGAGCACTTACTATGTGCCACACACTACGCTAAGGCTCCGGGTGTACGGCAGAGAAGAAAACCAGGAATCTGTTGTGGAGCTAATTCTTGCTCTGTCACTCACACAGCAGGAAGGAAGACAGGCCCTGTGCTTTTCCTCTTAGACCATGCTTCCTGGAAACACTTGGTCCAGGCTGCCATATACTTTTAAAACCCCAAGCGGTCCCCCCACCCAGATATTATAGAGCTCCAAAATGGAGTGGAAATGGTTTTTCTTCATTTCAAGAAGGGCTCCAGAGAGATGTGTTCAGAACTTAGTCCTGGCAGTTGCAGAGGACTTCCACTCTGGCAAGGTGTAGAAAGTTGAGTCTCCTGGGGGAGTGGGGGACATGAGATGGGAACCTAGTCATTTGTTACCAATTAATAAATGACAAAGCTGGCAAGTCACTTCTCTTTTTGCCTCAGTTTCCCTGTTTATGAACTAGTCACCTCTGTTCTGTCTCTAAAGAGGCCATGAAAAGGCAGACTAGTGCTCCGGATAATGTGAGGTGGGGCACTGTCTCATACAAGAGAGGCCTGAAGGCTAAGTCTTGCCCCTCCCATCCTGGGAGGCCCCCTACTTTACAGGAGTATGGGGGGGGGGAGCCGCAGCCCATCCTCACTCCGAGGCAGGGAAGTCAAGCTCTGAGGAAACTGAAGTGCAGCTGTTTCTAATGAGAAGCCTCATCCGCAGCTCAGAGGGTTTCGCGTTCCCCTTCATCTTGAATACTTAATCCTAATAGTCCTTGAGTATGTTTGATGTTAAATATATCATTTTGCTCAGACTCGCTGTCCCTCAGGACTGCAAGCTTGATCTCTCCCCTGCCACTGCAGCCAGAGCTGTGCCCTCGAGGTGTGTGTGTGTGGGGGGGAGCTTCATTGTTGCTGCCTCTGTCACCCATCTGGTGCAGCCCCCACCCTTCTCTGAACTGAGGCCAATCAATGTAGCAAGTACAGGGTCCAGGCAGGGGCAGCATCGTGAAGAAGAAATCTCTGCACTATCTGGAGACATACGGTCTTCCTCCTGGTCTCCAGAGGCCCACTTCTTGCTTTGGGGGTCTGACCCTGACCCACAAATCAGAACTCAATTAGCTGGAACCACATTCCCATTCTCTTGTCTGAACCACAACTAACCCCAGCTTCCAAGGTACCCAACTGAGAACCACATGGCCGGCATCCCTCTGAGGAGTCAGGACCCCTGCTTCCCTAAGTCCGAGGCACAAAGCAGTGAGCTACAGAAGCAGGTAGGGCGGGCACATCAGCAGGGGATTGGTGCTGTATGTGAAGATGGCTCGTCCCCACAGGTGGCTTCCTTTATACCCTAGCTATGAGCATGACATCCCAAACTGAAGCAAGAACCCCAGAACTAAGTGGCAGAGCTGCCTAGCCAAGTCTTTGGGGATTTAGAGAATCTTGAAGCTTACACCTAGGAAGAAGCCAGATGTGACTTCACTTGTAGGGTGGTCTTAAGCTCATAGGTGGGTCTCAGCCTCCTGCCCTCCCCCTCTCCGACAGCTTCCAGGTCCAGGGACATGCCAACAATGTTGAGTGGAATCCTAAGATGCCCTGGGGCTGGAGAGGTAGTTCTCACTCCGTGCATTCCACAGGTGGTGAGCCATCACTCTCACTTCAGCACACCAAGAGTGCTTCCAGAAATGCCTCTGAGGACAGCGGGGGGGGGGGCACCCATTTTTTCAGTCCCCAGGGATGCCTGGAAGAGAATGGGGGTGGTTGCTAACTGCCTGACATATTTCTAAACAGGTCCCAGCAGTTCATCCCTGTGCCTGGCAGAAACATCCAGAGAAAAGGGTTCCTGCAATGGGGGTGGGGGACAATCCCACTTGATGCCTAGGGCCCAGGCAGACCAGATAATCCAGAACTCTTCAGAGGCTAGCCAACAAGCCGGAGCCTGAGGGCCCTGCTCTCAGTACAGTGAAGTTATCTCCAGGTTGGGGTTACATACTGGCCTCGCAAGTGGTGACTGGAGAGGTATTTAGGGTGACAAGGACCCTTTCCCTGTGCACATGACAGTTACAGAACAGAGTAAACCATTATTTGCAGTGCCATCAGGATGCCTGTTAGCCGAGTCTGGGTCCCCTGCCTTTTCCCTGCAGACACAGAAGCAGCCAATGCACAGGAATTCACAACCAACTCATCTTGGAGAAGTGCACAGTCGGCAGACTCCCTCTTTGGGATTCTAGAGAGGCCTTTTCAGAAACTGCATTCACAAACACTTAGGCCTTAGACATGCCTATGCCAAATCAGCACAAATCTACCCTGTCCCTAAATGAAAGCCACCCCCAGCCCCCATACACGAGGCCCTAGTCAGCTAGGGGTTTAGGAGGACCCAGGGCTGCCCTAAAACCGAGGGGTTCCCTGTGCTACAAGACTCTGGACAAGCCAAGATGATTGATCACCATGGGGGAGATTGCAGGATAAGACAAGTAACTAGTGAGACCAAAGGAAGGCCAGACAGACAGACCCTCTTCCTGCTAATCAGCAGCTCCCAACCCTAAATTTCTGAGCCTCCTGTCCAGCTGTGTCATACTCCAGGCATGCCTGTGTGTCTGTCCTCAGCCCTGAGGATGATACAGAGACGACGAGATACCCACAATGGAAGGCGTGTTAGTTAGATCCAAGGGTAGACTTAGATTTTGTGAGGCCCGAAGTTTACAGCAGTTTAAGGGGTGAGGGTTCTTTAATAAAAGGAGTATGATCCTCGGTTACAGAGTTTTTGACCAGTCCGGGCTGCAGATCAAGACCTTACTAACTGTCCCGATTCTCCCAGTCCAACCCACGCGGAAAAGAGAGAGAGAGAGAGAGAGAGAGAGAGAGAGAGAGAGAGAGAGAGAGAGAGAGAGAGAGGAATATGAGATTGCTAATCAAACTGATCACCAGGGATCTGGCAACAGAAAGAGATCCCGGGAATCCCTAACTTCTCTTGGCCAGTCTACCCCACACTCACTACAGAGCTCGGTGAACTGATGGCATGCAGTCTCCTAGTCCTACAGGGAGACAGCATCACTCACCAAGTAGGCCCTGAAGTCCTGGACCCTAGGCGAGATGCACCTTCACCAGCCAAGTTCTCTGAGCACCCTCTGGGGGATCCCTTCCACACCGAGGTGTGGAAAAATATGAAAATACTCAGAGAGGCCCAGAAACTGGCTGGCAATGGGTACTACCGGGAAGCCTATGTCTCTTGGGTCTCTGTGCGCTCCGGATGGGGGCAGGAGCGAGAAAGTTCCCTGCTGGAGCATGCTCTCCTCACAGGCTCTGGGATGCGGGGCAGGGAGGGGGCGACTCCTCATCGCGGGGCGCAGAGCCTGGCACCTTACACACACACACACACACACACACACACACACACACACACACACACACACACCCCAGCTTCCGGGAAACGACAACCGGTTCCAAGTCGGGACCGGTGTCTGGGCCTCTGCCACTCGGGTCGAGATGGCCTCGACAGAGCTCCCGCTGCTCCCAAGTGTCCCCGGGCACCTACCGTCCTCCTGGTCCAACACCATAGTCCCCAGGCGGCTCCAGCCGGGCGCGGGAGGAGGACGCAGAGAGACTCGCGGCTCGGACCGTCGCCAACCGAGCGCCTGCACTGCTTTCCGCGGTCGCGCGTGGGCCCCGCGCCCCGCGGCCGCCGACGGGGGCGGACGGAGCGGCGCCCCGAGCGCAGCGCCGCGGGCAGGGCGCGCGGGAGGAGTGAGAGAGGGCGCGGCGCTCTGGGGGGCGGGCTCCAGGCGGGGCTGCAGCCCTGTGGGCTGAGCTGCTGGGACCCGGCCCGAGGCGAGCGGGAGCCTGAACCGAGCTAGGGCCGGAGCAGCCTCCACAGCCGCGCACGCGGGTTCCCTCTTGCAGTCTGCCGTGCCCGCTCTTAGCAGAGTGCAGCTTGCATTTCCCAGAGCCCCTCAGATTCCCCTGTTAATTAAATCAATTCATTATGCTCAGATCTGATTAGCGGCCCTTCCCCCCTTTGAATCAATTATTCAATACACAAACATAATTGCTTGGGCCAGAGGTGCCCGCCATTAGCTTATTTAACTCCAAGGACACTAATTACCCGCAGGGCACGGGAACTTTTCTCATTAATTCTGACAAAACACAAAAGCACAGCCAGAGTGTGTGCGTGTGAGGGACTGTGTGCATGTGTGTGTGCGTGTGTGACCGCATGCCTGAGTGAGGGATGAGTGGGGTGGTGGGCCTCTCGGAGAGTTTACCACCGGTGGGGAGGGTGGCATTTGTGCCATCGCGTGTGGAAGTATGCACTTTCCAATCTATGAACGTTCTGCTGTGAGTGTGGGACTCCGTGTGTGAGAGTTGGTGTGGGTGTGGCTCTGGGTCTGGGACTGCGGACTAAGCACAGGAATGCAGAGTGCTTCTGTGTGTGACTTTGAGGTTCTGTCTCCCTGTCATTTCACCCCTTCCTTTTTCATTATAGCCGGCGATTGCAGCTGCAAACCTGGAAAGCACGGACTAGGAAAGAGAAACCAGGCTGGGGCAGGGGAGGGGGACAGCGAGGACAGAAGGGGTGAGCCTGGAGCCAGTTGAAGCCACAATATCTACCCGGGCTCCAGTCACCTGCTCCTGTAGTGAGTTTTGCTACATGCACCCCCACGTTCCCACCCCACCCTCAACCCTGCTCCTTTACCCTCTCACTGCCTCCCCCATTTAATGCTACCCTCACTCTCTGCTGTAATACGAAGGCCCCCCACTTCCACATATGCTTGACACCAGGGCAGCTCCACCCGCCCCATCCTAGTTTCCCCCGCTGTCACAACGCTGGAGAGAGGGTGTGCTTCTAGTGGCCCGACTCTCCATCTTACCTCCCAGGAAATCTCTATTGAGGGAGCCAGGGAGGGAGCCCACAGAGGCAGGGACACAGAGGGTAATTGATTCCCCCAAATTAGGTTTCTGCTTTCCAAAGACTGGTATTGTTCAAGTTCTCAATGTGCACAGAGGTATTGAAGATTTCCTTTTTGTTTCCTCGGGCAATGAATGAGCTTAATCCATTTGGCTTTTATAAATCAGGAAACTAATATTCACTCCTTCCATGGAGGCTTAAAAAATTTAATTGGTGGTGGTGGGGGCTTAGTAGCCCTTATGCTGTCCTCAAGCCCCCACTTATCAAAACACATTCTGATGAAGGGGTGGGGGAAAGAGGGGGGTTCACATTGATCCTCCTGCCCTCCTCCATCTTTGCAAATGGTCTCCAAGTGTCTGGGAAAGTTTCTGAAATTATCGCACAAATTATGTTCACTTTAGTGATGAAAAGAAGGCCCTTCAGAGGGTGCCTCCAAATTGGCTGCGTAGGTGACCAGGAGTGCTGGGGCCCTGGATGTATCTGTGCCATGGCGGGTTTGCCAGTTCCTTTCTCTCTCCATTCTAAACAGTTCCAGAATTGTCATCTTCCTGGTGCCAAGTGTTACCTTGTGCCTCTCCTGCTCCAACAATCTTTTTGAGGGGAGGGGAGTGTGGGGGGTGCAGGGAATTGGCTCAGCAAGCAAAAGCAGTTACAGCCAACTGGCAACCTGGGTTGGATCCTGGGCACCCATATGGCTGAAGAAGAAAATGAACTCTTGTTGGTGGTTCTTTGACCTCCATATGTGCTCCGTGGAATGTGTTCTCTGCCCCACCAACGAACTAATTAAATGTGATTTAAAAATTTAAACAGTCTTTCTGTATGTCTGTGTGTGCCTGTAGGTGTGTGTGTGTGTGTGTGCGCACACACACACACACACACACACATAGGTTTGAGCACACATGCATGTGTGTATGTGAGTGGGCTCATGCATCTGGAGGCCAGAGAGAAATCTCAGATGTCCCCTCCAGGAACACTGTCCACCTGCATTGACACAAGGCTTCAACAATTAGAGACTGGCTGGCCAGTGAGCCCCAGGGATTCCTGTCTCTGCCTCCTCAATTCCTGGACTGCAGAGCCTCGGGTTTGTGAGGCAGGGACGTCAGCAACTGAGCTATCTCCTCAGGTCCAGCTCAGACCATCTGTGATGGCTCTCCAGGGTTTAACAGATAAACTTGGAAGTGCTTAATCCATCAGTTTAGGCTCCTTGTATTCTGGGGACACCTGGCCACCACCACGCCCCTTGCTTCAGTTTAGATGTTTATGAAGTCCCATCTGCTTGCCCTTCTGCCTCAGTGACTCTTCATACATAACCCTCTCCACAGACGCCCCTCCCTGGTTCTCTGCATTCCCCCAAGCGCCTGTGCACACGAAGGCGGAGGTTCCTGGGAGATGTGTGTGGGGGTCTGTGGAGACGTGAGCAATGAGGTCAGCCTTGGGGTCAGTGTTCAGTTCTCAGTTCTCCCTTTTTGAACTGTGTATTTCAAAATGGAGGCTCAGGGGCAGAACACCAAGTTTTCCCAGGATGTCAAAGAGATGGCCTGGGACTAGAGACCCACAGCAAATTTCTTCTACAAATGCAATCTGCAAGACTCTCTGTGTTTAGTTCTCCACGTGACCAGGCAGAGCCACTGCCTAAAATTGGTGTTAACTGGTCTTTGTACTTGGCCATCTGGTGAAGGGGGCAACTGGGACCTGAAACTCTGCCCACCACTGCCTAAGCCATATACCTGGCATAGGCTGCACCTTCTCCTTCTTGGTAAAGTCATCTTTTGATATTGATACAAAGTACCATAGGGGCTAGCATGAAGCCCTGGCCTCTTTGCAGCCATCCTGACTGTGGCAAGAACCTGTATGAACCTAAGGGACCAGCTGAGAGGGAAAACACACACACACACACACACACACACACAGAGAGAGAGAGAGAGAGAGAGAGAGAGAGAGAGAGAGAGAGAGAGAGCTAACTGCTACAGAATACCAACTAATACTGCCTGTTGATGACAAAGGACAGCTAGTCCCATCTTGCATTTGTATGGGGCCCAAAATCTTGGTGAAAGATACTGAACTTAGTTCATAGCCGGGACTGGGACATGAGTAGACCTGTCATAAGGGTTAAGGTTCTGATTGCATGGGGAGGGGTGCTGAAAACTGAGGGAGAGACAATGCACTGGGCTAGGCTGCAAGGCCTAGTCTGGAGGAAGCAATGGTTTCAAACATGCTGCTAGGCCAAGAAGGGACCATAGAGAAAGGAAGAAACTGGGTCACTAGGAACTCTATAATGCTGCTTTGGGAGCCCCTATGAAACAACTTGTCCCTAGAAGCTAAGGTGTCACCTTGCTGGACTAAGAAGGGGTGGGGGAGGGAGGGAGGGAGGGATCAGCAGCGTGGTGGCATTAGTAGAGAAGGAGACAGCTGCTCTAACTGTAGGGAGGCATTGATCCTCCTAGCCCATCAATCCTACCTCTCTACCCTTGGATTGTCAGGAAATTACTCTTGGGAACTTGAAATCTAGTGGTGTCTAGAGGGCATTTGAACTGTACACATAAGCATTTTTAAAAGGTCCTGCACGCTGTGGAGAAGATGTCCTGGAAAAGAGAATTGGAGCAACAGAATTTGGGGTAAATTATTGGAACTCTTTACGGCTGGTACTTAGCATTTATATAGTCTTTATGTTCCAATATGCTTCACTTGTTCAATGGGCAGGATGGGAAAGGCTTTGTCTGCCAGGATGGACCAGAACAATACCAAGAAAGCAGGCCCACTGCCCACTTCCCCTGGTGGCAATGGAGCTTCATGCATCAGTATGTTACAGGGGATGCAGAGAGAGTGAATTTCCCTACTGCAAAACAGATTGTCTGAGTAAGTTAAAAATTAAAATACAACCAAATGCTGTTTACAAGAAATTCTCCCAAAACAAGGTGATAAAAAAAGACTGAAAATAGAGCAAGGGGCAAAAAATATACCAAGCAAATGCAAGCAGAGAGGGAGTAAAAACAGCAATATTAATGTCAAACAAAGCAAACTTCAAGGCTAAAAGCATAAACGGCTTGAAAATGAAAGCATACGCTCTGGAGTTACTTTTGAATCAAAAATGAGATCAAACCTAAAATAGAAATCATCTAATAATGGAAATGACAACAACAGCATGCCATGCAGAACCTGTGAGACACAGCTGCAGTCAGAGGGGAAATCTATACCCTTAAATGCTTTTAATATCAGAAAGAAAATAGAAAATGGAGGGGGGGAGAGAAAGACCTAAAATAAATGATCTATATACACAATATAAGAAATAGAAAAAGAACAGACAAAGACCTTCCAGATGGTTCAGATAGTCAAGATGCCAGCCTCCAAGCCTAAGGACCGGAGTTCAATCCCTGGTTCCCACTGGGTAGAAGGAGAGCTAACTCGTGCAAGTATCCACTGACCTCCACATATGCACTGATATACGCTTGCACATCCCTCCACCTTCAATAACAAATGTAATTAAGCTGGACAGTGGTGGTGCACGCTTTTAATCCCAGCACTCGGGAGGCAGACAGGCGGATCTCTGTGAGTTCGAGGTCAGCCTGGTCTACAAGAGCTAGCTCCAGGACAGGCTCCAAAGCTACAGAGAAACCCCGTCTCGAAACAAACAAACAAAGAAAAAACCCAAAAAATGTAATTAAATGTTTTAAGATGAAGAAGTGCAAACAAGTCTATAAAAACATAAGGAAGTTAGTCAAATTAAAGTTAGAAAGTGATTGAAAATATCAAAAATAATAATTAATATGAAAATTTTAAACCCAGTCTACTTTTATTTAAAAAAAAAAGACCAACAAAATAGAT